GCTCTGTTAGGATTTTTAGAGGTTCATTTCAAGTATCATCCACCCTATGAAGTCTTTCCACATCTCCCAAATGGATGTGATCACTGTCTCCTGTGAATCGCTCCTACCTTTCTCTACCTCCTCACGCTTGCACTGCAGATACTGGGGTGTTAGTCTCACTCATTACTTCAGACTGCATATTCTTGAGACTAAAATAATAGGCTTTTTATGTGTCCAGTAATCTTCCTAATTTTTTGAAATAACATTTGTTGGACAAGAGAAGAGAGAAGGTAAAAAAGGAGAAAAGAAAAGTCTTAAAGCTTAAGGAAAAACAAAATATATTATAGCAGCCCAAGCTTAAGAGACAGTGGGATTTGTCATAAAATGACCTTGAACTCAGAGGCAAGAAAGCTGAATTCTTTGGATAAGTGGCTTTACCACTCTGGACTTCAATTCCTCTTCTGAAATATAAAAGATTTGGGCACCTGCCTGTCTCTGAAACCATGTTCCGCTGTAATGTTCTGTTGCTGATATTTACAGGCAGAAAGTAAAAATCCAGGCCTTGATCATCTTATTAAACTCAACTCTTTTCACTTTTAAAAGAATCAGCTTCACTCCACTGGTCAACTTTAATAAACCAGTTCTCTATAAGCTCAGCCTTAAGACAACCCAGCTCTCCCTCCCCGCTCCCAGAGTGGGACACAAGCCAGCGAGCTCCTGGGCCCCGGGGCCCCTTGTAAATCACAGAGCTGGTGCTCCTGTTCCCAGCCTGGGTAATGCGCTCTGGCTTATTTGCATAACAATTACACGCATTAGGAAGGCTACTGATTGGAGCACTCCTTGCCAAATTATGATGGCTTTTTGAATGAAGCTGCCTTTCCTGTCTCTGAACAGCTGTTGGTGGTGTGCTTGGTCTTCAGTCACCACAGGGAGAACGGCACCGCCCGCCTCCAGCTTCCAAAGTTACTTTTCAAGGGAGAGTATCCCAGCACCCCCCACGTCACAGGACCTGCTAAAGCCATTGCCAAGTGGCCTTTCCCTAGCAGGGCAGCAAAAATTCTTACAGCACCACAGTTTTGGAGGAAAAATAGAGCCAGAGCCAGCACCCAAGGACAATGCTGGGTAAATGCTTCTAGGGCTGCTCCAGGCCTGGTGCCAACTCCATCAATTTTTTGCCGTAACCAAAGCCACTCGGTCACTTAAGAAATAAATATTAAATTCTGATTCTGTATCGGCATTGCATGTGGTACCAGCCATGCAAGATGAAAAAGGCAAACCCCTGGCTCCTGCAGCGCACAGTCTGGTGAGAGATCGCACATGAACACTACGCTGCATGTCGTTCTTGCTCCTCGCGCTGCTCTGTGGTATAATCGGCTATTATCCTGTCTTATTTACCCTGTAAGCTTCCAGAGAACAGAGATCATGCCTTATTTTTCTATATCACCTCATCCCCAAACAATAGTCGAATAGCTCAAGCGCTTGGAGAGCAAGGCTCTGGTCTGATATTTCTTCTTCCCTGTCCCCCATATCACCCAGCAAAGTCCTTTACTCATAGTTTCACAAGGCACTATATGCATCCACATATATTTTTAAAATCAAAAATATCAGCACATCTTGCTCACACATGGCCGTGTGTATTTCTGAGGCTAAGCCAATTCTGTTGATTGCTTATTACGATTCTATTGGTAAACGAGAAGGAAAGCAAAGAAAGAGATTAAAGAGGGCTCACAGTAATTACTTTCATCATAAGTACTACGGAGTGCCAGCCACTTTCCCAGGTTATAACCCATTGAGTTTAGAATCATCCAGATTCCTCAGAAGTTTCCGAGAAGACCACGACCTTACATTGTGTTTGAGACCTGATGATTCTACCTCTATCACTAGGACTCAGTTTTGCAGAAGCCTGAAATTCAGGAAAGCACCCTTCTTTCAGGGGACTTAGGCTTATCTTCCAGGTGATTTTTGACAAGGCCAGAAAGCCAAGACCCGGATTCCCATGTGGCATGCCACAATCTGCACCTGTGAGTTAGATCTGCTGAAACACACAACTTGCAATTATAGCTAAGTTTTATTGAAGACATTATTTTTCAGACATGGAGCTCTTGGAGGCCTTACAACTACTCTGTTATTATTCATTCAAGATGAATTTCACAAATATTTATTAAGTATTACAATGTAATCTCAGTAAATATGTTACATATCCCTCAGTATCAGACCTTGGGGAAACAAAGATACAGCACTATTTGGTACACTGAATAAGACATAGTAATAAATAGGTATATTACAAGGCATCACAATATTTATGATCTTTTATAATTCTTATAATATTTAGCAATAGACATCGTTAACCATTATTTTCTCCTTTCATAGATAGATAAGGAAAATGGGGCTTTAAAATGTAACTTGTCCAGGTTAACAGGACCAGCTGGTGGAGCCACAGCTGGGGCTCGTACGGTGGCCGTGCACTCAGTGCTGTTCACCGTACTCGCGCTGCCTCACACCAGCCGCCTTCTTAGAGCCCCAACTAAGGGCCACTGATTGCCGACGGGCCCCCACGCAGTGCACATTAGCCAGCTTCGGAGATACCTGCTGCCTCTGCCCACATTGGTTTGGAAACATTATATGATATTTGTAGCAGGAATCTTAACAGTCCAGTTAATCACATCAAATATCTAACCTCTGTCACCTTGTGCCGTTGCTGAATTTGAAAACCCTTTCAGTTATCCGTAGTGTCTCACATTTTCCTCCACTTATCTCACCACTGTCCCCAGCACTGTGCGTGGCATAACCATTGTAGGCTCAGCCTGACACGAAGTATCTCTCAACCGTTCTGTCCTTTGTTCTTCCTGTGAAGCGCCTGTTCTTTCCATCGCAGGAGAGAAAGCTGTTTATCTTACTTCTCTCTCCCACCATAATTTGTCATCTTCCATTTATTCTCCAGGGTACACAATTTGTCTTTCATTCTTACCATTCCATTGACACTTCCCAGGCCAGGCCCCCAAGGCTTCTTGTATCTAATTCTTATTGCTATACAACACATTACAACAAATTTCTCAACTCGAAACAACACAAATTGTTTTGTCATCGTTTCTGGGAACCAGTTGGTTGGACACTCTACTCAGGGTCTCGCCAGGCTGAAAGCAAGGTTTGAGTTGTCCAGGGCTATGATTCTCATCTGAGACTCAGAGTCCTCTTCTTAGCTTACCGTTGTTGGTGGAATTCAGTTCCTTGCAGTTGTGGACCTGAAGTTTCCATTTTCTTGCTGGCTGTTAGCAAGTTGCCACTCTCAGCTACAAGACACCACCCTACGGTTCTTGCCAGGGGGACCCTCCAGAGGCAGTTCACAACACGGTTGTTTGTTTCTTCAAGGTCAGCAAGAGAAATCCCACTCACTTCAAATTCATCTTTTTCAAAGAGCTCACCTGGGTAGGTCAGGTTCAACCAGGATTATCTCCCCTTTGATTAACTCAAAATCAACTGGTTAAGGACCCTAATCACATATGCAAAGCCCAGTACCTTTCCCATTTAATATAACCTAATCATAGGTGTGAAATCCTGCCATACAAGTCCCACCCACACTCCAAAGTAGAGGATTATGCAGGGGATTATACTAGATCCATCTTAGAATTCTGCCTGTCACATCTTCATATTTCCAAATCTACTTTCCGCTGCTTCTCCTAATAGGTTTAGTATTCCCTTTTCCTCACAATAAATCATTCTGTTCTTCTAATTTAAACAGTACTTTCTCTTGCTTTTCCATTGTCTTTCTGGCTTTTCTTTTCTACCTTTTTCAAAAGTTTTGCTCTCTTTGTGCTCTCTCCTAAGCTACTTATTTTTTTTCCAAGAGGAACATTCTGTATCGGGTGTCAGACTGTTGAAATATACTTCTACCACCACCTGGAATATCTTTCTGACGCCTCCTTCTTCCTCAGGCCAACTGTCATTCACCCTTCAGAACTCACGTCAACCTTCAGCTCTGTCTGGAAAGTCCTTTTTGACTTTCTTTCAAGCTAATGGAAGTCCCCATGGCACCTCCAGTTTTCCGATAGCATTGCTTGCAAATATGTCAATTTTTTTTTTTCGTACAAAATACCTCCAGGGTTACTCAATAAACACTCTCCACATGAGGGAAAATATAACCATTCTGCAGATGAAGAAACTGAGGAGAAATAAGGTTAAGTCAGCCACTGACTATCACACATTCAGTAAAAGCGTAGGAGAGAAGCAGGCCACTCTCACATGGCCAATAGTGAAAGAGAGAAGGAAGTTTCCAACAGATGTTGGGACCTTCTCTCCATTCAGAACTGGAAATTCAAAATCATGGATTCAGGAATGTGGCATGACTATTATCAAATTCAGTCCCCAAATTAGAATAAATACCCAGCATTTTGCCTGGATCATAACTGGTGACCTACTCAATAAATGTTTTTGAATGAAATCAAAGATTGTTCAAACAAATAAATAATTAGAACTGGGAAACAATATAGGAAATTAAGCTTATAAGAGTTCTGGATCTGCATAGCTTCAGAAAGGTTTTCTTCTATGAAATGGAGATTGAAACTTGATTTAGAATTTAGAATACCAAAATGAGCATGTGTAATTGAGAATAGGTAATTATGATCTGGGAGAAAGAAAATGCAGTAAACTAACCTAGGAAGTTCCCTATAGATTCCCATTACCCTCTGGAGGCGAATTAAGCAAATCTACTGAAGATGTAGAAAGAAATCCAATAATGAGTCTTGTAAAATTTGAACCTTTTAAGCTCCAACTAATGAATAATCTTACAGATTATCCAAACCAGTGGCCTTAGGAGGAACGGGCCAAACATGAACCAAGAAGACAATGTGAATGTGGGAAAGAGCACAGATTTACAGACACGTGCTTACACCTTCCTTCCCTAAGGGGCTGCAGTTCGTGCACACTTTCACTTACTTCTGTATTCTTTCACGGCACTTGTGTTACCGAAGGCGCTAGGCAGTGGGGAATGTCATGGTGAACGAGCTCTGCTCCCTGTCTTCTAGGAACTGACTTCCTCTTGGAGAAGACTGGGTCATGATTAAGAAATGATAGCAGGGTGATGAGAAAAAAATTCACGCATTCCTTGACAACACAGTGTTTGCAGGGAGAGGGCAGAAGGAGGCATCTGGGAAGGAAGGACTTCCATGCTGATTCCCTGAGGAGCCAGGTGGCGGAGCACAGGGAAGAACATCTCAGAGGTAAGAACCTGCAGACTGGGAGGTCCTTGCACGGACCTGGAATAGCAAGCAGTTCTGTGTGGCTGAAAGATGGAGGAAGAGAAGGTGAATGTGGACTGCCGGGGATGAGGATGTGGGAATGAGCAGGGGGTTCTGAAAGACCTCATGTGCCGATTCTGAAGCAAGGTTGAGCCACCAAAAGGTCCATAGCCAGGCTGGGGGTGATACATTTGGATTTACAGGATGTGTGATTGCAAATGGTTACTCCAGCCATAGTTTGGAGCATGGAGTTTAGGGGGCAAGAGTGGACACCAGGAAGGTGCTGGGGCCAAAGCAGTGGATGTGGGAATGGATATAGAGAGAAATGAATGCTGTGAAGACCTGTGCACAAATTATTAAATTATAAATGGGAAAACACTAGCATTTTACCTCATAGTTAGCTGTGAAACTTACATAAGGTAATGGATTTGAAATTGTCATATGAACAATAATGTGCTGTTAGTGATTATTGTCAACAAGGTGGGAAATGTAGAATTTGCTTTCAAGCAGCCAAAATAATAAAACAAAAACAGCTCATCCATGCCTTTGAAGTATTTCCACCTCTCCTTTTATTAGGAAAATTCTGATGGCAGGATGGATGAGGGTGGTCAGTGTTCCCCCAAGCAACCAGGTCGGCAGGCGACTCACCAGTCAGAGCTGTGTTCTCCCCTCCTCCGTTTCAACCTCAGGGTAAAATGGCCTTTTATTAATATTAATATACTTGCATAAAGTGCTAATTTACTCCATCATTTTCCTAATTAGCTCTATTGAATTGTGAGACTCATCTGCATGAATAATGAATCCCTCCATGCTTTTTCCAGTGTTGGTCTCATCTCTGCCAAGGGAAGTACAGGACGGGGGAAAACTCATCTGTAATTCTTTGATGACTGTGAAGAAAGATGGTCCCCTTTCTGAGAAGACGGTAAAGGCATCAAGAAGGTGCATTAATTAAACCTGGACAGAAATGGGGAGGGCTACTCTGCCTTTCTTTAGAATAAATAGAATGAAGCTTTTGCTTTAGGCCCTACTGGTTCTGTCATTTCCTCTTGGAATGCACTAATGAAGATAGCCTCCTTCTGGTCCTGATACGGTGTCACTCCATCTGCTAGTGTTGCAGGATAGAAGATTAAAGGCGAGGAGGTGAGGTCAAGAATAGTGGGTTTATTTGATCCAAGGATAAAAGAAATTCATACTTCCTTTATTCTCTGTACTAATTATCTCAATAAGATTAAAAATGGAGCTATTCATAAAACTGACCAAAATTAATGTCAAGAATATTGAAAGAACTTCTAATAATAAGTCAATGAGAAAAGCACAGCAATACAGTAGAAAATGGGCAAAATAAATGAGCAGGCATAGCAGAGCAAACATATAGGAAAAAATGTTCTATGGATTCTAAAGACTACAATGACATAGCATTGTACACAGAATCCATTGGAAAAAGTTAAAATGCCCAACACTACTAAGTATTAGAGAAGCTGAAGCTATATTTCCTTAGGATCTTTACACATCGTGGGTGAGAGTATAAATAGACTGATGTTTAGGGAAGCATTTTGGCATTGTTTTTTTTTTTTTTTTTGAGACAGGGTCTTGCTCTGTTGCCCAGACTGGAATGCAGTGGCATGATCATAGCTCACTGCAGCTTCAAACTCCTGGGCTCAAGCAATCCTCCTGCCTTAGCCTCCCCAGTAGCTGAAACTATAGGTACACACCACTACACCCAGCTAATATCTTCTATATACAAACATTCCCAAACTCTGTTACTCACAAATTCCACTCCTCAGTATATATGTTCATACCAACCTTGTTCACGATAGGCAAAAATCATGAATTCAACCTAAATACTCATCAACATAAAAGTGGGTAAATCAATTGAGGAATATTCATAAATTGGAATAATACCTAATACCGTGTTTCCCTGAAAATAAGACCTACCCATAAAATAAGCCCTACCAGGATTTGTAAGCATTTGAGAAATATAAACCCTACCCCGAAAATAAGACCCGGTTATGGGCGTGGCTACACAGCGTGTCTGCACAACCCATGCATTTCATCAGGGAGCGGTAAAGAAAACAGCAGCCCCTCTCATCTGCCCCATGAGAGCTCTATTGCTCAACATGAGAGATTGGGGCCAATGGTTCTAAAGGAAATAGAGTTGCAAGAAATTCAGGATGGGGCTGCACACTGTGGCTCACGCCTATAATCCTAGCACTCTGGGAGTCAAGGTCAGGAGTTCGAAACCAACCTGAGCAAGAGTGAGACCCTGTCTCTACTAAAAATAGAAAGAAATTAATTGGCCAGTTAAAAATATATAGAAAAAATTAGCCGGGCATGGTGGCACATGCCTGTAGTCCCAGCTACTCGGGAGGCTGAGGCAGGATTGCTTGAGCTCAGGAGTTTGAAGTTGCTGTGAGTTAGGCTGACGCCAAGGCACTCTAGCCCGGGTAACAGAGTGAGACTCTGACTCAAAAAAAAAAAGAAAGAAAGAAATTCAGGATGGAATTCGGGGTTTGGAGAATTATGATGATGTTCCAGAAGATGACGATTTAACTATATTTGAATAAATGTAGATTGTTGTACCATACTTAAAAAGAATAACACATCCCCTAAAAATAAGCCCTAGGGTGTCTTCTTGAGGAAAAATAAATATAAGAACTTGTCTTATTTTCGGGGAAACACGGTATATATCAGTCAGAGCAAATGAACTACAGTAACCCACAAAAATATGGATGATCTTAAAATATAATAAGTGAAATAATTTCCCCAAATAATATATATCAATGCATGCCCTCTTTATGAAGATGAAAAACAATAAAATAAAAAAATTAGAGACTCCTATATATGTGATGAAATTGCATAAAGATGAAAGCACAGGAGGAATACAGAATTCTGAATGGTGGTTGCTCTGGGGCAGGAGGTAGGGAGGAAGATGCACAGGTGGAGGATTGTATGATGGAGATACAGGCTGATGCCAAGGTCTTAGCTCTGTGTGTGTGTTGTGTGTGGTGTATTTGGGAGAGATGGTTAGAGATCTGTGGTTGCTTAATATACTATTTCTTTTTAATAAAAATAAAGGGAGGCTCAAGCATAGAATACTGAGAGTGTATCGTGGACCGTTGGTTATAAATAATCCAATTCTGTGCACCTGAGGTTCATTTAAGAAAGAGCAAAACTTGAACTATCAAACACCTTTTACCCTTATATGGTTGGTTTTAAAAGAAAATAAATCTTTCCACTGTATCATTAACTAAGGTAGCTCCCTAACAAATGCATTTACTTTATCACCCTTGGATGATTTTCCTGGTTTACCAAGGTCATAGCAAGAATGGAAAGGTAGAAGGCTCAACAGTATGAAAGGGTGTGCATGGGTTAGAGAGGCGAGGCCAGCTGAAAGCTGAGATACCGGCGAGGGGCCATGCACCCTCGTGGGGGACACAGAGGCTGGAAGAGGAAAGCTTAGGTCAGACAGCTCTCCGTACCGGCCACAGGGTCAAAGCAGTGACTGAGAGCATGTTGGGTGGCTCCACAAAGGTGTTATCCAGAGGGACAGAATCTCAGGCACAGCTTGTTGGGGTGGGTGCTTAAAGGAAGTACACTCAGTGTACAGGCTGTTCATAAGTTAGATGTGAGTAATTCAGAAAGTGCCAGGACTTACTTTCCATCTTTGACTCACTGCAAAGAAATGCTCCCATACCATGAATCTAAGCCATGTCCTCTCCCAACATCTTTGTCAACACAACTTAGCATAAACGCAACAACACTAACATTTTACATTTGTGTAGCACCCCCCTGTGGCTGTCCAATTGATTTTCACAATCTCGGTAGGAAGGATAGGCATTTTGTTTCCCTACTTGTTTCACGAAGGAGGTGAGGTGAAGAAAGACTTTACATTGGCTATCTAGAAATAAGAATTGTGGTCACTGGCCCTCTTCCTCCTTTTCGAGATGCCTCCAGAAAGTAAGAAAGCGAATATACCTGTCAAGTGCATTGCAACCTTTATCTGACTTAATCTTTCAAATACCCCATGAAGTAGGCACTATCATTGCTTCCATTGTATGGGTAGGAAAATGGAAAATACAGAGAACTTAAATTATTAACTGTATGACCTAGAACGAATAGCTCAAGAACTTCACGTCTCACTTGCTTTATCTGTAAAATAGACCATGTTAGTAACTATGCTCATGAAATTTTTGGGTGGGTTGATGAGATGAGGCAGCTAATGTATTTACTTTAAAAACATGAATTGCACAAAGGGCATAAATGGCGGTAGTATGCTTGGACCCATGAGTATATGATTCTAAGTCCTGCCCTGTCTACTAAAGTCATGTTGCCCCATAGGGGAGTCAGAACAGGTAATGCAGAGAGGTTAGACTAGACCAGCTAGCACAAACTGTAACTGCACCCTAAGTCTCTGACAGGCTCTGCCCAAGGATTGCCATAAGAAAAAAGTCTACAGCTAATTTTCACAAGATCCCCCTCTTCACACCTGCCAGAGCTCCACACAAGGCATCTCTCCACTATTTAGCTATTATTAGAACCACAGACTAGGAAATCTTTTGACTGGCAAGAGATCAGGACATCAATTTTCATTCTGTATCTGCTTTAAAGAGTAGGAGTGAAGTTAGATTATCAATGACATTTTCTCCCTGCAAAGATTGCCTGGATCATATTTGTATTCATTTTCATAAATGCAATATACAAGCCACTAATAGAACAAAATCTACTAATTAAATTTCATTCAATAATGCATTTTTCACCTTGGATTAGTGGTGTCCTTGTACATTGTACATTTCTGCCAGTATTCTGCTAATAATGTCTTATTTAGCTTATAAATGGTGCTTATCACTAAATTTGAAATATTAATAAGCATCAATGAGCCCAAAATAACAGCACAGTAAATAATATGAAAGGCCTCTACGCTGTAGACTTATTTTTGCTTAATTTAATTTATTTATTACAATGCAAACATATGGATTTGGGAGGATGCTAGCTCGGCTGCCATTGCAGCCCAGGCCTTCGATATGTCCCCAAAATAGGAGGTGCAGAAACAGCAGCGAACCCAAAGCTCACACCTCTGAAGGGAAGGCACTTCCTACAATGCGTTCATGTCTTGAGTGGAAGACTATGTCCACCCCAAGATTGATTTTTGATCCCTGTTTTCACTACAGTTTACCTTTAGAGTTCAGATGTTTGAGTTAAGTGAAATACTTGGAAAACATTTATAATTTCCATACTAATCTTTCAAAGCAGATTATAATATCTATATTGTCAAGATCATGTGGAGGGCTTCAGTGTTTACAGCATGTGTGTGAAGTTTTGGGGAAGACTTGATATATAACAGTCAAGGCAAAACACCTTGGGAAATAACATTGTGACATTTGATCTCATGAACTCTCTAGAGGTTGGCTGGGCCAATATTAACATGATTAACCCATTGTATTGACCAGTAAACTAAGGTTCTAAGAGGCTAAGTTACCTTCCCATATCCACAAAACAAGATAGCAGCAGAGCCCTAACTCAACCCAGAAAACCCTCTAAGACTTGACCTAAAGTCTACGCCAATATGAGTTTAGACAGCATCTTCTATGCCCCTTTCTTCAGCCTTGTGTGTGTGTGTGTGTGTGTGTACATATACATATAAACACACACATATATTTATTCTCTGAAATATATATATTTATTCTTTGAAATACATGTACAAGAGAACTCATTCATATTGAAATAACGTCTCCATTTTTCTTGACCAAATTTCCTTAATTCATTTACTTATATATTTGCCCATTTAAAACAAGTAGTGTCAAGTAGTGTTTTAAGCATGAGGGCTGCAGTACAAAACAAAGATAAAGTCCCCTGCCCTCATGGTATTTATATTCTAGTGTGTGTGTTTGTTCGGAGGTAGATGATAAGCAAAATAAATTGAAATGTTGGATGGCACATTAGGAAATGTTAATTGAGGGAGAAAAATAAATGGGGAATAAAGAGTGCTGGAGGAATCACGGAGGTTATGATTAAAGGGCAAAAATGACAAATTTAGAATTTGATAATTCCCCCCTTTGGGCTCTATCAGAAGGTTGGTGTCTAACCCTTCTTCTCCCCTATACATTCATACCATGAACTGATCTCTGACCAAAGCTCACACTTTCTTTTTACAAGGCAGAAGAATACTGGAATTTCTGTTTGCTCTCTAATTGACTAGAGCAACGTTGACATCCAGTGGTGAATTCGATTAATCACAGGTTCCCGCACTCTTGCTCTTTGATATCTATGCATGGGAGGGTGGCTGGGATACAAGTACTGGTTAGTAGTACTGGTTAGTAGTACTGGTTAGTAGTGTGTACTGCAGTGTAGCCCCAGGTCCCTGTGCAGATCCACACCCTCACCAGCTCCCGCCACCCACCATCCTTCTTCCACTGGTTTGACTTGGTATCAAGAGGTATCATGCATGTTACCATGGCAATATAACTATGTCATCCCCAGTGCATAGCCAGGGACTGTATGCATATGTTTATATGTATCTATCCACCTCATGTTTGCCTATGCATACAGGCGTTTGCTATGTATCAAGGTGAATCTGCATTTAGGTGTAT